AATGAAAAAAAAAAACGTTCTAAAAACTGCAACAGCATTGTGTACCGCCAAAATTCTGGAGACAGTGGCACAACAAGATGTTGAAAGGTTATTGGCAACACTTTCCAAATTATTACAAAACTAATTTTATTTTTCAAATTAAAAAAATACCCGGAGACCTAATATAATTTAATTAACTTTAATACTTTCATTTTACTACATTTTATTGTTTTTCCCCCTTTTGTTTTTAGTTTTTTTTTTAATTATATTAGCTCTAGTTGATACGCCACTGGGGGTATCTACTAATTTGTAAATCACAAATTGTAAACAACTTGTCAGCATTCTCTGCTAAATGTAATTATATATACAGATGGCAGAATCAAATTAAAATAAAATAAAAAGTTTCAAATTGATCCTAGATAAATGCAATGATTTCAGGAGATAAACATGTCATGATGGTAATAGTAGAAGAGCCAGTGAACTATTTGACTAACCTGTTTTCTCAAAGCTAGTAATTTTTTCAATGATATTTTATTATCGGTTCATTAAGAAAGTGCCGTTCTGGCAGTCATTCTGCGATTGCGTCATCATGCCTTCAATTTTGAAAATGTAAAAAAAAAATGTCATAACCTGCTCCCACAAGGCTCAAATTTTGAGGGTGTATTTGTATTTAACTGTTCAGAAAGTATATGTAAACAGCCAGCCCATTCTGACGGGTGCAAGGGTCTGCCAGAAGAGTACATAATAGTCACATAATAGTCATCATTAAAAAAACTACTAGCTTTGAGAAAACAGGTTAGTCAAATAGTTCACTGGCTCTTCGACTATAAAGCCTGTAAATAGAGGTTGACTATCCTGGCCTGTGCCCATACTTTAGGAAAATCACATAATTTTTGATAATAACCATTTTCCAGCCTAACAATTTTCAATTCTAAATAATACAATAACTATTACACATCTAATAATATTATACGTATTCACAGAATAGTCTATAAATGCCTGTAATATGTGTACATGTTCGTAGATCGCCGTGTATGTGCCTTCGCGTTTAAAATTCTGAATAGCGCATATAAAAAAATCTGTTATAAACTAATTATAAAATTCAATAAATAATTATGTACTTTTAATTTCAGATATCTATTTAGATTCGGCATCTATAGCATTGATAGTCGTCGGAATTCTGTTACTGATTGCTTTGGTCGTGCTAGTTGTCTTGGGTGTTCTTGCGTGTCTCAAGCGTAAACGTGCATCAAGGGATTTGCCGGCATACCGAGGAGAAAGAGCAAGGATTTAAAATTTACTGAATATTGGTAGACATACGTCGTATTATTAGATTGAACAAAATATCGAAAATATACCAGTCAAATATCGAAAATATGCCAGTCAAATTTTGGTGTTAAACATAAAATATTAGATATAAAAATTATCAAAGATGACGCTGAATACTAAGTTTTTTTAAGGAGGTATTCTAGTGTAGAAATTCAAAAAATCAAAAATTCTTTTGTTTCATATTTTCAAAGTTTAACTATTCAAGAATATGCGTACGAGAAGATATTTTAAAATTTAAATTATTTTTGGAGATACAGCTGTTTGACCATGACAATCCGCTTCTATTTCTTTCTCTTGCAAAACTTTAAATCCATTTTTCTCAAAACTGTCTTTTTTATGTCCACGATTTCTCGATTTCTACTGTGCCGATTTACTTCAAATTTTCAGAGAATCTTCTTTATAGACTTCTCTCTGGCATATACTAGCCTCATTCCTAAATTTCATTTTTTACTATTTTTATAAAATTCGTGAAACTCAATAAGTGGTAAAAAAAATTATCATTTTTTCAAACAGTTTCCATATTGTCAAAAAAAAAGTTTTACTTAATTATATTATATGCCATTACGACATCATTATAGATTATTAATCATTTTTTTCATTTTGAATTACTTGGAGGGTTGCAATTGTGTATATAAAAAAAAAAGATTGCATTTTTATGATTTGAAAATAACCTCAAATTTATGTTGTTTTTGAAAAAAATGTTTTTAAGTTAACTATGACATAGACTTTTTATTTTTTTGTTAGATGTAGAAACATATTCTTGAAATATTCATTTAGTCCAGTCATTATAGTAACTTCACCTCGGAATTTGAGATATCCAGCTGTAAGTCTGTAAAAACTTGTATATTGATACCTAAAAATTGTCTCAAAACCTACATATGTTGCGTACACCCTACCAGATGTAGGTTTTGAGACAACTTTTAGGTGTCGATATACAAGTACTTACAGACTTACAGTTAGGTATCTCGAATTCCAAGATTCCTACCAAATTTAAGCTTAAATGACTGGACTAATTTGCATGCCAAATAGTCGAAATAATAAGCAAAATAATTAACTATTCATTATGTACGTTTCGACACTGAGCGTGTGTCATCATTCGGCACGTTACATATACAGTGTCGACACATATACAGTGTCAAAACGTATATAAAATTGTTAATTATTCACAGCTTATTATTTCGACTATTTGGTTGAAAATAAACATTTCAAAATTATGTTTCAACGTCGAACAAAAAATCTAAAGTTTATGATATGTCATAGTTAAACATTTCAATAATTTAATTTATAATGATTCATAAAATATGTACTATGGTCGTACTTTTTCCTAATAGTCGCGCAAATTTTATTGTTACATCACAAGATAAGACTCGGCTTTCAAATAAAAATTAAGCAGAACACAAAAGACGTAATGTGTATGTTTTACTTTATTAGTAAGTTTCAATTCAAGGCCTAAAGACTATTTAGCTTTAAAATAGTTATGATTTTTACATCAGACTTTTAACTAAGACTTATTTATTTACAAGTATTTAACACTAACATTAAGAAAATATTTTATTATATTATATATGATTTAATCAAATTATTGTAACAAAATTATTTATTAGAATTAGTTCGAGTAATATTGCTTTGCAATGGAACAAGAATGTTGTAGTCACTAACTATTAATTTTAAAAATACCATAACAGGTATTTCTAACAATAATATTAAATATTTTGTTGGTATGTAAGTATTTATATAACATTATTATATTATCAAGAATTAATCAGTAGCATTTTTAATAATTAAGTTTAATCTTTATATATATATACATAAGTATATATGGCAGAGCATGTATTCTGATTCAACAAAAGTACAAATTGCTCTAATAGAGTTACCATGAATAAAATATGTAATATATACGCACAAACTCAGAATATAGATATATTTTTAATCATCCCATCTAAACTTTTATATAAAAATGTAAATATAATAAATAAAGCAGTTCAAAATTAAAATTGTTTTGCGCAGTAATTGAGGAACTTTGGAGCAAATAAAATGTGATATACATATAATATTACACAGTTGTCTTCAAATCAAAGGCGTATCTACCGCCGTATCAGCCGTATCAAATATACGGAGCCCCCGAGCCAGGGAAGCCCCCAACGTCCGTAAGCAAATATTAATAATAACTAGTGGGGCGCATGGCATCGTGCTTTAAGGCAAATTGCTGGAACTTCCCGTACAAAAAATTTTTTTTAAAAAAGATAACGTTTTTGAAAAAAATTTACTCTGAAAAAATTAGATTTTTGAGAAACTATAAATTTTTGACAAAAACTTACTTTTTTGAAAAAACAAGACCTTTTGGAAATTCTGAACTTTTTTTTCAAAGCAATCGTATCGCTTCGAGACGAAATATCAAAGCACGTAAGCGCCGCGTCGCCGTCTAACGGATAAACACTCGTACGGAACCCATAGAAATGTAAACAAAATTTATACTTATTGTCAAAATCTCTATAAAATATCTGATAAATTGATGTGCATATATCTAATGATCATTTTTGACCGCCAAATGGCATTTTTTTTTACTTTTTTACTAGATCTCCGAAACCGCTAGACCTGCCTTCATGAAAATCAGTTCTTCATCTTGTTAATACAAGTAAAATGTTTTTTAAAATATTCAAATCGGACGCTCCGTTCTCTTAAAAACTTTGTTACCGTTTTTGGCACTTTTTGCCCCATATTTTCGGAACGGCTATACCTGCCTTTGCCAAAAACTAATCAGCACGTCTCCTTATGGATACGAATCGAATGTTTTTTGAATTATTCAAATCGCTTCATCCGTGTTCCCGAAATCGTCGACGAAAATTTTTATTTTATTTCACAAATAACAAAAGTAAAAATAATCATGAAAAGTCATTTAGCAAAACACCTGTCTCTGTATCATTTGTATTATCTTATGATCATCTCTGTATTCCTTGTATAAGAACTCAGATTTATTCCAAATTTTTATGAATATTTTAGCACTATTCTTCCAATTTCAAGGAATCGGCTAGACCTATCGTTGTAAACAAACATTTTCTGGCAAAAGCATTAACTTTTTCTTAAAAAAGTTAAATACTTCAATGATACAGGAACAGCAGTCAGATCATTATTGTTCATAGAAACATAAACTTTATCAAAAACTATCAAACGCCATAAATGATTTAATAAATGTGTATATTGAATTTGAATAGTTTGTAGAAATTTCGGAAAAGAGACAGCTGAATATTGATAAGTGAAGATTTTTGTGAGAAAATTCTGGCATACCTGAGGGGGCCCCCAAAAAAAAATTTGATACAGGGCTCCGCTACGCCCCTGCTTCAAATTTATCAGATTCTTGATAGAAAGTATCAAAATGACCTTTAAACATGCCATGACAACTTTGAGACTATTTTCGCCAATTTATAGCGACATAAATTGACAATTTAATATTGAACAGTATTTTATATTGAAAAGACATTTGTCTTTTAAACGTCGCGCCTCAAACACCTGCAACGTGGAGGTAATTTCAAAGATGAACAAATATCAATGCAATAGTATGTACGATATACCGCAAATTTAATTAATTCCCCATTACTCTTAAACGAATTTCAATTAACAAAAACAAAACAACAAACACCTCATGAATAAACATAATAATACATATGGATAATATAGGTTATGTTTCAATTTACCTCTTTGAACAAGCACAGGTTTTGGTGGAACAGGTAACAACACTGGATTTTGGGTAAAATCCTCTATTGAAAAACCAGTTATATTTGCACTTAGCAAGGGATTATTAAGGTTTTTGATATTATTATCTGCCATTTCAGCACACTGATTATTGTATTAAGATATCGAAAAATAAACTGTCACATATGCTGTCAAAAATGGGCTAGTAATGTTTGCGTTTATGTGTCACTGTATAATTTGGCGCGCTTTTCAAAAGCAGTAGTTCCGAATTATGGCGGTATCTAGTGTGTTGATCAAAAAGTTTAGAAAATTGTTTTGTTATTTTAAATTTTAAACTAGTGGTAAATGGCATCGTGCCTTAAGGCAAATTGCTGGAACTTCCCGTACCGTAATAAAATATTCGAGGAATATTGAACGTTTTCAAATAGATTATTATAAATACTTAATCGAATTTAAAATGAAGGCCATTTTCTATAATATTTATAAGAATTATATAAACTAAATTACAAAATTAAAATTATTTATTTGAATTCAAACCATTTTTCCTGAGGTATGCCATAATGTTCAGAAATCTTCAAAACGTGAAGAAATGTTAAAATTTTCAATTTAGATTTTTAGACAATTACAATAACTTACCCTACGGGAAGTTAATAATATTATTATCCCTTAATATACTTCTTATAATATTACATAAAAATATATATTATATTAAAAATAATAATATGCATAAAAATATGTATTATAGTAGATTCCTATAATATAATTGATATCGTACAAGAACCAAGCAATCAATTTACTGTAATGGATCCCCCGCTAGACAATATTAGAATATGATGTATTCATCATATGGAATGCCCTGTCGAAAACTTATTATAGCTATAAATATATTTATTATAGTATTTGATCAAAAAAATTTAATGTTAGGTAACTAAAATTAGGCTTCAAATCATCATAAAAAAACTTGTTTTAATAAATATGTATGATAATCATTGTTATTTTATGTATTCATTTCATTTCGCAAACTTCAATATCAATTTGTACAATGCTCGAGATGAATCTGATTACAGTTTATACCAAAATTATGTTTCACTAATGAATATGTTTAGAATAATCAAGGAAGTAAAGCAAAACTAAAAATCTTATGCGAAGGTTTCTGTATGTAACTTGAGATGCAGCATCATTTATTTAGTTATTCGTGAGCCAACAGCTAACAATAACAATAAATATTATATCTCACTCTTGTTAAGCATCTTCATAATTACAGTAACAAGAGCTTGTAGCTGAAATTTGTACATTTTGCTTTACAATCCACATAATCACAAAAATTGCTTGAAAAACTTGAGTCCACATTACTCTGGAAATATATTGAGAATGTATCCAAGTTAATATATGATGAGCAACTGTAGATGATAGAGATTGTACACAAATTTATTTATAAAAATAGCAATATTAAGTGTGATCAATTTAAAAACGATTGCTTCATTTTGCACCTATTATTACACTCGAAATGCCTTCAAGGTACTGAAAATATCCTCATACCCAAATATTATCTCTTCTAAGATGAATCAAAAATTGAATCAAAATATGTGAATAATAAACAATGTATAAGAAATCATACGATACGTTGAAAGTTATTATTAGTTTGAGTTATCAGTAGTTTGCAAGTTAATATTCAGAACCAATTGATATTTGCACAAATTCTCCTATCGATGAAAATATTGCTTTATATCTGTAAGAGAAATGTCAATATAGGATTATTAATTTTGATACATTTTGGCTATTATTAGTTCATCCTAATGCAGTTTCAAAAATTTAATGAAACAAATCAATTTCATGAGCAAAATCAGTAATTGTAAAAAAAAATGTAAAGAATAAATAATACTGTGAATAGTTATACTAATTATAAAAAAGTAACCTAGATTAAAGAATTTAAAGTTTAGTATAAATAAGAATGAGAACAAATTAATCTATTTATACAAATATAAGCATCACTTGCCCATAAACATGTACGAACAACTACGCAAATCATGCCCCAACCCAGAGCTGTTAGACACATAACCATTGATCAGCCGGCCTTCACTGTATAACTTTATTTTCTTATTCACACTTTTAAAAAGCTTTAAATATTCAATTAGTAAGTATTTCAATGAGTCATATGTTATAAATTATAAGTTCACTGCAATGTTGGATGTATTTTTAATTTTATTTCATATAGTACAATATATAAATTCATCAAAAAACTTCCTCTTCCTCGTATCAAACAAAAAAAACTGAATATTTATAAAACACACATCAAAAAATTGTTTACAAAATAGCGTTACTTAATATTCTAAGCCATATCTTAGCAAATCTTTATATGAAAACACCACATTATTTAAAAAATTCTGTCATACAAATGCTAGTCTACGATAGTTTTGAATATATTAAATACGTAATTTATGGTATTCATATCATAAAATACATTTCATATAAAAATCTTGTGCTTATATGACTGATTCTTAATTGAGATACATCGTAAACCATATTAATAAAATACGGTCTAAAAATTCTTTAAGAATTCATAACTAATAATTGAATAATTGAACATTTTAATTACAAAAGAAACATAATCAACAAAATCATAAAGCACAAAAAATTTATGTATAGTTGTTAATTCATTAAGTATTACAAAGTTATAAATTATCAATTTAGTAAGTAAACTATGTATGCATAATATCCTACAATCTTTAATCATTTTCTAATTTATCACAATTACTATTTCTTGTCCATAGAATATACCTGTGATTTTGAATCATGGCTAAATATAATATTCATCAAGCGTTAAAATTATATAATTAAACTACACACCTAAATCTAACATGATATGATTATCAACATATGTCCAAATGATAAAATGAAACATAGAATTTAGTAATGTTTTAAATAGCTTGTAACTCTATAATCTAATAGAAATTAATACAAAAATATTTTTTTGATTGATTTTCTTTGTATACAAATAATATATATAACATAAATATTTTCTTTTTAAATTGGACCAAAGATCAGTCATGCCATAGGAAATTGCAAAAGTGATGAAATTTGAAAAAAAAAACATAATCATATTTATCTATGAAGTGACTGCATATACTAAAAATAAAATTATCGTAATATAAACTAATGTTTAGCTAAATATAACTAAAAATAATTATTTTAAAATCATCAGTATTCTAACCATTTTAATCCTGTTATATTACTCAATACAAATCCTTGTCCAAACTGTGTGAAATAAATTCTCATTCTCTTTGCAATCCTATGAAACACTTTGAGCAGTCTCTAATATTCTCCATAAAAAGATTCTTATGAAAATCTTAGTCCAAAGTGATTTGGGTCAGAAACATTCCGCGACGTGATAACCACACTCTGCAAAAAATAAAAGCAATATTTAATTATTGAATTAAACTTGATATTTAGTAATTTTATATTTAATACCAGTCTCACTATAGTATGTATACACCAACTACATTTAATACTTGTTGAACACTTACCCAACACCAGTTCCAATCAACAATGATAGGAAATTGGTCAAAACCAATGTGTAAAGGACTTCCTTTGAGAACAAAGAAGTTTTACCAACTTTGGCGTGACGGATGCTGTACGTTTTGCGCTTGGGGTGGATAAATTTCCAATCTCTGGAAATAGAAAAGAAAAATTAAAGATCTTAAAAACAAAATTTTGTCTATTGGCAAATTGCAAAAACATCAAAATTTAAAGCTAACAAGAGTAGGCATAGTGATACCAAATACTTTTTGATTAAATGCAGCTACATTTTAACTGTGTTATTCCAGTCATTATAGTAAGTTCACCTCGGAATTCGAGATACCCAGCTGTAAGTCTGTAAATACTTGTATATTGACACCTAAAAGTTGTCTCAAAACTACATATGTTGCGTACACCCTATCATTTGTAGGTTTTGAGACAACTTTTAGGTGTCAATATACAAGTATTTACAGACTTAGAGCTGGGTATCTCGAATTCCAAAATTCTTACCTAATTTAAGCTAAAATGACTGGACTAAGCAACTAATGAAAAAATCACAAAATCGCTTCTAATTTATGATCAATGAAAATATATCATATCAAATAATGTACAATTAATACGCGGTGCTAAGAAACCAATAAAATTAAATATATATATATATATATATATATATATATATATAAAGCTTCAAAAGTTTAATTATTAAACGCATGTATAATTCAATTGCGGGACTTACAAAATAAAATACCATCATTCTCTTTTGATAATTACCGAGTCATTTTTATTTTTTCCAAATGTTTAGGAAATATTTGCAAATAAATATGGATAAATATTACAAACACACAAATGTTGCTGAATATATAAATAAGTGTTATGAAAGATTAAAAAATAAACTTTTCAATGATTAGCGAAAACTCACTTTGGCGGAACTTGATCGGGTCTTGAGCTCCACTCCCAAATCCAGTCTGAATTCGTGTTCAAATGCATGAAATCTCCTTCCTATAAAAATAATATTCATTTTTAATATTATTTTCTGGCATTCGTTCATAGGCTTATTTATATATATATACACACATCCGTCTGTAGCATTCAGTTTTAATAAATAAATTACTCTCCTAATTTTATTAAATTAAGTTTATTCGCGACTGAAATCACTAAGGACGTTTTCTTAGTGTGCCCACGTTTTAGTGCGCATCGGTTGAAATTTGAAACAGTTTTGAGTAAGGGAATTACACCAATTCACTAATGGAAGAGATGTCGACATGGAAGGCTTCTCTGAACGCCACCAGCAATCTTGCAAGAGCAAAGGGCCTCAGTTAAAGAAAACGAATGATCTTATTTCTTGCAACCTTCATCCATAAAATAATGAATGGAGGTTGTAAGAAATCCCAATTGCAAGAGAAAAGTGGAGGTTTAGTCAGTATTATTATTATTGAGTCTGTCATACCCAGGTAAAAAGTTACAAACAAGGTTTATGATTGAGTTCTAATAATCGGACGTTACACAAATAAAAATTTATGATTATTTTCATAAGTTTATTTAAAATTCATAATTTTACCATAAGTCCTAGTCTTGAGAGAAAAAATGCTGTACGAATGAAACTTCCGACAATTTTCAAAAATTTAAAATGTTTATATATTGACAGATTAACTAATATATAGGGTTCCATACAGTTATAAAATAAGTTTCAAACTCATTGTTTTGTCAAAGTTATTAAACTATTCATTATTAGTAATCGCAAAATATCCAAAATGAAAACTTTTATATATCTTTACGTTTCAAAGGTTTTTGAACATTTTGGCATACTTCAGAAAAAAAATGGATGTATGTGTGTGTGCGGATACAAATTTTCGTCGACGATTTCGGGAACAGCAATCAACCGATTTGAATAATTCAAAAAACATTAGTTTTTGGCAGGTCTAGCCGTTCCGAAGATACGAGGCAAAAAGTGCCAAAAACGGCAACTCAGTTTTTAAGAGAACGCAGCGTCCGATTTTAATAATTCAAAAAACATTTTACTTGTATTGACAAGATGAAGAACTGATTAAATTTTTGGGAAGACAGGTCCAGCGGTTATGGACTCTCAATAAAAAAAAGGTTAAAAAAATGTCATTTGGCGGTCAAAAATGTTTATTGGACACATGTACATCAAATTATCAGATATTTTATAGAGATTTTAATAATGTTTACACATTTTGAGTAATTTTTTTTGGGTTCCATACCAAGATTTTTAATTACGGTACGGAAAGTTCCAGCAATTTGCTGCCTTAAGGCACGATGCCAGGCACCCCACTAGTTATTATTATTCTTAATAAATTTTTTTTTATTAACTCTTTTATTTACAACTGTCCAGTATAGGACATTCAGTAAATTTAATGGATTTACAATAGTCCGCCGAAAAGGTACATTGTATACTACTTTGACTTGTTGGAAAAAACAACTCAGTAGTTGTTTTTTCGATATAAAATTCACAATATTTACTTATTAAATAATTTCTTATAAATAATGATTAAGTTATTTCCATTTTTTTTTCAGGAGAGTTGATGGCTTAAATCCAGTGGCGCTTTTCTTTTCAATCTTCTTCGATAGTTCTCTGTTATCAATGAGTTTGCTAATGTATTTGGGTGATTGATTAGATTGTTTCTATACTTCTGTGCTGTTTTTGTTATTACTTCATTCTTAATAAATATAATCAAATTTTTCAGTAACTATTAATTTTTTTCAAAAAAAGCCGCTTGCTTTGCCTATAGTTTCATATATTACAAAAATATAATGATAGCATTAATTAATAGAATATTATAACAAAATAGTTTGCAGAAAAGATTTTTCTCAGTATCTAAATCTCGGTTGGCTATTCAGTTGTTCAAACACGTCTCGTTTTGTAAATGTTTGATGCAAAACGCGTAAATGCGAGACATATCGATCGCCCATGCTCAACTCAAGCACACGCCGGGTTTTGCGTCAAATGGGATGAGGCGAACGCCTCGCGAATCAACAAGCATTTTCAAGAGCCAATGTAACGCAATGACGGCCTGCTCATCAAAAGCCGATGTACACGTGTATGAAACCTCCAGAATAATGGGAAATATAGAGCACTAAAATTACAACTAGTGGTGCATGGCATCGTGCCTTAGGCAAATTGCTGAAACTTTCCGTAATGTAATTTGAAAATTTTAAAAGCTTCAAAATTTTTCGAAATTTTTGTTTTTTTTTGAAAATTTTGAACTTTTTTTCAAAGCAATCGCACCTGTCAGCTTCATAAAGACGAAATATTAATAGAAGGCAATATTAAAATCTCTATAATAATACCCGATCTTCAAAACAGCTAGACCTGCCTTGCAAAAATTAAATCAGTGCTTCACTCCGTTAATACAAAAAAATGAATCATTCAAATCGGACTATCCGTTATCTCAAAACCTGAATTACCATTTTTGGCACTGCCTTTGCTAAAAACTACTCAGCACGTCTTCTCATCAATACGAATCGAATGTTCACGAAATCGCCAACAAAAATTTGTATCCGCACATACATACACATACAAACACACATAAATCAAATTTTTGTAAGGTATGCCAAAATGTTCAGAAACCATTGAAGCGTAAAAATATATTAAAAGTTTCGATTTTGTTTCAATTTTGTTGCGATTACTATACCTTACCCTACGGGAAGTTAAAAAGTAATTGATATTTATTTATATACATGCAGTTTCTACAAAAATGGAAAATTAATGAGTTGATAAAGAATAATATCAAAGTGTGGAAAAAAGTATTTTGTGTAATTTCTATTTTACGATGTACATTGTACACTGCAAAAATGTAAAAATTCACATGCAATACAAAATAGACAATGATAATATTTAACAAGATGTAACTGTTTGAGCTTTTGAGCATGTTGAATGGACTTTCCAATACGTGAAAATTTGTGAGTTGATCAACAATAATTGAGATCAAGTAAAGTTTTCGAACTCCCAAAATTACAAACAACAATATTTTCAATTACAAATATAGCATCTTTAACTTCTAATTAACAGTTAATTAGGAAACGTTTTAATTTATGTTTTTACACAAAACTAATTAACGCATTTCCATTTCAATTTGAAATTTTTCAAATCATTTTACGAATTACTCAGAAAGACAAAAATTAAATTTTTATCTGTTAATCATCAAACAAGGGTCAAACTTGAATTTTTGAAATCGATCGAGAATAAGTTGAGAAAACTTGATAAGAAATATATTTTCGATTGTTATTAAGTTGCTTAAGATGTTAAGAAGATTAGTCATCCATAACACAAATTAGTTTATGATCTAGTTATTGCATTCTTAGAGTGTCACATATAAAATGAAGTAGCAATTAACGCTGTTTCCACCTGAAGTAAACACAAATACGCGCGTGGAAATTTTAGAGAAAGTATTTTGAGAATTCTATTGTCATCCCATTGTAATTAAATATATACGTATCAATAATTAATACAGGAGTGTATTTTGATCTGAATTTTAATCCTGAAGCGAATAAACTAAAACAATTATTATTTATGCTTTGAATGCATTCATTTCTTGAAATAGTTATTATCTACACAGTTTCACTTGCCAAATTTCTGTCAATAAACTTGTACTATTTAAAACGATATGACGTTGGAACAAGTCAATATAGGATAAAAATATTACAGAAAATCGCAATAATAATCGCTTGCATGTATTTTGTGAATAAAGACAATTTTGGACAAACCAAAAAAACCAATTTTAGGCAATCCAGGAATTATAACTGGTAATTGCTACCTTTATTTTTATAATTATTTTTATTCAAAAAGTTGGGCTATTTTCTAAAGAGTTATCTAGTATAAAGAACTCTTAGTTTTGATTGCTATTCAAATAAATAAAAAAACTGTTTTCAAAGAGAAAAAAAATGAATATTCCTACAAAGTAATAGTGAATAGTAAAAATACATTATTTCTATAGTCTACTACTGTGTCTATTTAAAGTGGATTTAAAACTGTAATCTCAAATATTTTATTAGATTAAGCAAATATATGTTATAGTTACAGCAACAATGTATCTTTTGAGCAAATATTTATTGTGGAATAATTACATGCAGGTTGTATTGTATGCAGAGCGCGGTGTTACAGAACTTCACAATCATAAATGAAAAACAATATAATTTAATTTCGTAATATTGAATTGTAATATAACAAGTCAATTGTCTTAAGAATCATTTTATGATCATGGGTTATAAATATTTAAACCAGGATGTACCATTTTGAAATAAGATTAATAAATTAATAAATACAAAAGTATGAGTGCTCAAATGTATCAATGAGTAAAGTTAAATAATAAAAATCATTGAAAATCGTAATAGTAACAAATATATTAATGATAACTCTAATAATCCAATGATACTTAGTATATTTCAAGCCAAATTATTGAAGCAGTTATAAAAATAGAGAGATATGCGAGTCAAATTCATTCATTATTATTATGTTAGATGTTTACACAAAACTGAAGTTCTGTCTATTTTGTTCTATTCTGTTGCATAGGGTAGAGCGGAGCTTAAAGGTTTGCGGGTAAAAAGGTCCACCACCGATATCTCAAAAACAAGTAAAGTTAGGAATTTTTCAACAGCAATATTTGAAAGTAGATGAAAAAAGATGTATAACTAGTCATCATCTTGATTTTTACGACGTAGCTATCGGAAGATAAACGACAATGTTGAAAAACCAATAGCAAAATTTTCTTCCGTTGTTAGTTTCTTTGGTCGTGAGCGCTGTTGTTTAGTTTATTTAAGTAAACGTTATTTAATTGTTTTATAAGATGTATTGTTCTTTCTAAGTTATATCCAACAGTTTTTTTACATTACCTTAATAAAAGCTTACTTGTGAGGTAAAAAGTACCAAGTGAACCTTTACCCTGCCAAAGGGTTAATACGTACACTATAAAAAGTAAATTAAGTTTAAAAAAAACAATTTTGCAAAAGATAAGTTAAATTATTAGTTATTCCAACTCTGC